TTCCCGTGCCGGGCGGCACCAGTTTACGCATGTCACATGGACGCGTCCGTGTCAGCAACTAACAATCCAACTGGACTGAGCTACGACAAAGCTGAGGAGACAGACGAGAGGAAAGTGAGTGAGGAAAGACCAGCTCGAGTCTGGCTTGTTATTGAGCAGTATGAGCTCCTTATATACATGTCAGACTGAATATTTAGAATATCCTACGAATATACGGAGGTGTATGGAAAGTAAGAGAATACCATGGAATCCGGGAGAACCATCCGGAATGTGTAATATTCATGACATTACCCCCCCATCTAGAATCGTGTCCTCACGATTATTTACCCGTCAATCCAAAACCTCCTGATCCTCGTTGAGTCTCTATTAAACTTGACACCTCCTCGATATCGCATGACGCAATGCGTTCCAAAATGACTTGTGCGATTCGATCGCCGGCGTGTACCTGGAATGGTTGATTGGTGGAGTTGATCAACACTACACGCACTTCTCCGGTGTAATCTTGGTCTACCACCCCGGCGCCGACATCTATTCCTTTGACTGCTAACCCACTTCGCGGTGCAATTCGTGCATAAGTTCCGTGAGGAGCACGCATTGCTATGCCGGTGCCGACAATCTTGCGATCCCGTGCTGGTATCTTAGCGCTTTCAGCCGAGTAGAGATCAAGCCCAGCCGACTCTTCAGATCCTTGTTTCGGGAGAATTCCACCCATCCGTTGTACCAAAAGAGTGGTATCGCGCGTGAGTATGTGAACAGGTCATGTTAATAGAGGGGGAATTTGAATCGTCATAGGCGCGGGTTTGTCGGAACGTCTAGCGTGGAATTCTTGAAGGAGTTCCTGACAATTAGTCAAGTTTGCTCGTGATTCCCAGGAACGGCGATCGCCGTGGGGGCTGTTCTTCCAGAGCACCTGATACTCTAGATTTCCGTTTCGGTCACGACGGGAGTCAAGGATTTCTTCGACTTCCCATTCTTCCTCGCCATTTACGAGGTCAGGGACTACCGGTTCACGCCGCTGAGAGGGATACGTGGGTTCTTTGAAGGGACTGAGAAGGCTTTCATTGAAAACGGGGTGTTGTTTCCATTGACGTGGTAGCTCCAATTCATAGGCGGAAGCGCCGACTTTGCGTTTGACCTTGAAGGGTTCATATCGCTTATCGTCGAGCTTCTTCATTGGCCTGTCGGTTCAGATGTTTATTCCTTCTAGCCAAACTTTATCCCCAACTTTGTATTCCGGTCCGCTCTTTCTCTTTCGGTCGTAGAAGCGCTTCATAGACTCTTGCGCTAGACTGATAGCCGCGCTAGTATCTTCACGTACTCGATCCATTCTATCGACAAATTGTTGGACGTTTTCACTTAGTCCCTCTCGTACCGGTTGGGTTCCTTCATAAGGGTGGTACCCTTTATTGACGAAGAAGGGGGTATACCCTGTGGATGAATGAACTTTGTTGTTGTACAAAAAGGCCACTAGTGGTAGCCATTCGGCCCAATCGACTTGTCGATAATTAATGAATAATCGGAGGTATTGTTCTATTTCGTGATTAATACGTTCCGTTTGTCCATCAGTCTGGGGGTGATACGTGGTGGAGGGATTGGCTTCAATTCCAAGTGATCGGTACAGTTCGGAGATGAACTTGTTCTTGAATTCGGTGCCCCTATCACTGATAATCTTCCGGGGAAGTCCGTGATGTGCTACTACATGATCGCGAAGTGCTTTTCCCCATCCTTCGGCATTGAGTTCAATGTTACTTGGTATCGCTATTATCTGCTTGGAATACATGCAGACAACTACGAGAATAGCGTTATACCCAAAGGACTCGGGTAGTACTCCTATCTTGTCTACCGAGATTATTTCCCAGGGTCGCGTAGGAATTTCGTTGGGGAAGAGAAGTCCGGTAGGTCGTGTTGTGTGCACCTTGGTCTTCTGGCATTTTTCGCATCCAGCAACGTACTTTCGGATGTCTTCTCAAATTCTAGGCCACCAGTAGTTACACGTGACCATTTCGTGTGTTTTGTATTGATCGGGGTGTCCTGCCAATGGGGTATCGTGATGATGAACAATGATCTGTTCTCGGAGTTTCCTATTTACTGGTACATAGATACGATTCTTCCACGTCACGAGTCCGGTGCTATCTTCGTTCCAATTTTTGTCCTTGTTCTGTAAGGCTACGGTAACTAGCGAATCTTGGTTTTTTTTGTGTTTTTTAATTTCTGTGACCCAGTCCTGGTCAATTCCTTCTAAACTAAATACCATACTACGAATCAGGGCACGAAAATGTTCTGGTTTTAGCAACACGATATCCAAATTGTCCTCTTTTCCTGCATTGTGTCTCTTTTGGCGAGATAGTCCGTCAGCTTTGCCGTTCGATTTACCGGGTTTGTGATGCAACGAGATTGGTATTCAGCCAACTCGGTTACCCATCGGGCCTGTCGTCGATTGAGCTTCTGTGGCTTCCGGAAGTATTCTAGGTTCTTGTGATCCGTCCATATTTCAAACGGATGTATGGCACCCATGAGATACTGACGCCACTCGTCAAGGCTAGTCATGATTGCGAGAAGTTCCTTATCGTAAATCTCGTAATTTCTTTCGGCTGCTGTCATAGCTTTGGATAGATAGGCGACGGGTTTCCATTTGCCATCTTGCTTCTGGGCTAACTCAGCTCCTACGGCAAAGTTCGAGGCATCGCATTCTACACGATAGGGGTCGTCGTCATTGGGTATGGCCAATACTGGTGCGGAACAGAGTGCATCTTTCAGGCTTGTGAACGCTACTTCTTGTTCGATAGTCCATTCGAAGGTAGCATTTCCTGTTAATGAACTAAGTGGCTTTGCTATCTTGCCGTAGTCTCGGATAAATCTTCGGTAGAAGTTGGTGAATCCAAGGAATGCTTGGATGTCTCGTTTGCACTCGGGCCGAGGCCAATTGATAACTCCTTCTATCTTGACTGGGTCCATGCGGACAACTCCTTTTCCTACTATCATTCCGAGGTATTCTATCTCTTCTTTCTCAAACTCGCACTTTTCTGGTTTCAGATAAAGTTTGTGTTCTCTCAGGATTTGAAGAACTTGCCGCGTGATCCGACGATGTTCTTTTAAATCTTGAGTGAAGATCATGATATTGTCTAGATAGACTACCACATGTCCTTGACTGATGAGATCTCGAAATATATCATTCATCATGGTTTGGAATGTAGCCGGGGAATTGGTAAGGCCGAAGAACATGACGAGGGGTTCGAATAGTCCTCGATTCGTTAGGAACGCCGCCTTCTCTTCGTCTCCTTCTTTGATGCGGATATTGTTGTATCCCCATCGAACGTCTAATTTCGTAAAGTACCGTGCCTGCTTTAGCTTGTCCACTAGTTCTTGTATCAAAGGAAGTGGGTAGCGGTTCTTGATCGTAAGCTCGTTCAACTTCCGATAGTCTTGTACAGGCCGAAGTCGTCCGTCTTTTTTCTTGACAAAGAAGAATGGAGAAGCCCACGGGGATTTTGATGGTCTGATTCTCCCGGTTCGAAGGTTCTCTTCTATGAATTCATCGAGTTCTTTCGGTTCGTTTACAGAGATTGGGTAAACTTTGCAACTGATCGGTTGTGCGCCTGGTGTGAGTTCTATTGCATGGTCCCAGGGTCGTCTTTGCGGTAAGGGATCAAAGTCTTCTTTGCTGAACACATCGGAGTAGTCGTGATAGTGACTTGGGACGGTGTTTTCAAACATCTTAGCCTCGTGTTTCAAACTTTCCTTAATGGCTAGATCAGTGGCCGTAGTGCGAATGTGCACTGCTCCCGTAGCAAAGTAGGTTTCGTGGTCAAGAGTAAAGATTCTATCCCCTTCTTCTAGGCGAGCCTCCGGATCGCTGGGCTCCTCCTGATCGGCGTCAATATCAATTAATCGGGTAGCATATTTGCAGGTAATCGGGCACCGATCAAACTGAATGACTTGTTCTTGCCAATCGATAGATGGGTTATGGATCTGTAACCACTCATATCCCAGGAAGATTGGAGTCTTCCCTAGATTTGTAACAGCGAACGGAAGTTGCTCAACGTGATCCTGGATTTCCACCCTTAATTCGACAAAGTCGGTGATCGCTCTGCCGGCATTATGCGTGCCGTCCGCGTTATAGACAGGGATCGGTGATGGCAGTTTCTTTGTGGCGATGTTGTTATCGCGGACAAACTGTGCATCAATCGATGATCCAGTGCATCCTGTGTCCAATAACGCTTTGACTGATAAGCGCCGCCGCGTGTCTAGAGTGGTGATGATCATTGGAACGTCCATTTGAGTCCCCTTCCTTCCTCGGATAAAACGAGGTTGCTTTCGTAGTTCATTCAAGAAGTCTATGGCTTCTTCTTCTTTCATCTGCCTGATTTGGTTCATACAGGCTTCTGAGGCGTCAACACTCTTCTTTGAGTGTACCCATTCAGTCAACAGTCTGAGTGCTGCAGTTTCTTTGCTGACTATCCATTGGCGAATCCAAGCCGCCGTCCAGGGTGTGTGGCGCTGCCACTGCGTAGGTTCGGTCTGATGTTCTGGTGTAGGTAATAATTTTTTATTCGGGGAAATTAAGCAAGAGGGTTGAGCCTCTCCGTGCCGCTCTGCGGACGCCCCTTTTTCTGGTATATACATGGGTACACCAAACCAGGAACATAGATAGTTCGTGAAATTCTTTTCGGTCAGCTCGGCTACGCACCCTGCTGACCGCTTGCAAAACCCTTCATGGCCGCACAAATTTCTTCGTGGATTGCCTTCTTCCAGTCGAACGGTTCTGCCGTCGCGGCAGGAGCTTCGTTAAGTGATGCGAGCGGTGCGAACGTATTGGCAATGGGAACTACCGGGGTTTCCACGGCTCGTACTTGTTGAGCTTGTTGCCGATTAGGGCAATTTCGTGATATGTGGCCTTGTTGACCACATCGGAAACAAAGACCCTGGCGTCGCGCTTGATCTAGATCCATCGGTTGTCCCCTGCTGCCAAATGTGACACCAGTTCCATCGCGTCGTGTTTGAACCGGGGCGTTTGCAGCCGGTGCGGCTATGTTAGCCGGTGTTCGTGGTGTACTCTGTGTCTGCTGCTGCCGTGGCTGGAATTGCCCTTGCCGTTGGGACTGCGGGTTTCACCGACGATACTGCTGCTGATTTAGGTCGATGCGCGCGACCCGTTTTTTGTAGAGCGCGTATGTGGTGGAGAGTTCCTCCAATGAATTATACAGAAGCCGAATGATATCGGCCCTAAGTGCTTTTTCTAGAAGCGATTTTAACTCCTGGAAATGTGCCTCAAAGTCGTGAATGTTCGCCTAGAAGGCGCATAATTCAAACTTCGAGAAGAACTCCTGTGCCGACAGCGTTCCCATCTGCATGGCTTGCAGCCTATCGTACGCTTCCGCCTGTTCATCAATGAGGAAATGTACATCCAAATCTTTCCACAGGTCATTGGTGGTCTGGATCACGGTTTCTTTGTCCGTGTCGTACTTTTTCATGTACGTGGCTACATATTCGCCAGCGTGTCCTCCTTTCATGTATGACAGGATCATAAGGACCCTATCAAATTGCTCCGGCAGTCGCTTCCTTTGCGTGACCACATAGAGCTTCATCTGCGTCTTCCAAGCGATGTACTTGGATTTGGTGCCATCAAAGGCGTCGAGTTTCATCGCGCTTCCATTGAGGAGCGCGGCACTGTCTTGGTTCTCGGCCATCGCGCCGGGATCAGATGGAGATGAAGGTGGAGTGGGAGAACGGCGAGAAGGTGGGTTCGAAGCTTCGGAATCTTCTATCGCTTCTTCCACGGGGTTTGGTGGGCCCTCTGGTGGTGCTTTGGATTCTCCGAGGGCGATCGAACGGAGATGGTCAGTGACTGATTTGAGAGTGTCTCGTCTAGTTCTGGGTTCTGAACCAGATGCTCTGGGTTGTGGAGCTGCGATCGATTCTGAGGGTGCCCCTGTGGTAACTCTCTGTACTATTTCTCCGCATAGTCCTTCCCTACAACGGAGACAACAATTGCTATTATCCAGAGAATGCGGGCAGGGCTGTTGCGCGCAGTACCGTAGATTGTCGCCACGTAGGTAAATAGATCTTCCCTCTAGTTCTCAATGTGTATGTCCTCTACAATCGCAGAAAGGCGTGGTCATAGGGTGTCGGGTCCGTGGAGCTGGTTGCAGCAAACCCTGGGACTAATCGTGTTGTAACGACCAGATCAGGGATAGAGTTCGCCAAAGATAAGAATTTTCCGAAGAAGAGTCGAAACGCTATCTTAATACAGTTCTAGGAATAGTATAGCAGCCCAAAGAGCGATTATGTCTCTTCGGTCCGACGCCCTGACAGGGATCGTCGATCTAACTGCTATCTCTTTTCCGACGCCCAGCCTCAGCCGGTTGCCACGTCGTACTCAGGAATATCTGCTTGCACTGCGCAAAGCGTTTAACACCACCTATGGTAGGGTAGTGTACGATTCTAATTGGACGGAGCTCTGTCCAGCTGCCTAAGGGCTGGTGATTACAGAGGTGGCTTCGGGGTGTGTGATATGGTAAAATGCGCAAGTGCGCGGAGAAGGGTTCCAGGGGTCTTGATGCGGTAGAGTCGATAGGGTTAGGATCGGGGTGAGATTTCGGTTGGGGGAAATGAGGTGGATCGTTGTGTGGAGATGGGTGATAGTTGGTGTGAGAGTGACGAGGATCGTCGTAGGGCAGTTGGTGGAGACTCGAGCTAATGTCAGCAACTAACAATCCAACTGGACTGAGCTAAGACAAAGCTGAGGAGACAGACGAGAGGAAAGTGAGTGAGGAAAGACCAGCTCGAGTCTGGCTTGTTATTGAGCAGTATGAGCTCCTTATATACATGTCAGACTGAATATTTAGAATATCCTACGAATATACGGAGGTGTATGGAAAGTAAGAGAATACCATGGAATCCGGGAGAAC